TTTAAATATTTATGGTTCAATTAACATAAAATAATATTTAACTATTATATTATATGATAAATTTTTTAATAATTTAATTAACATTTAAATATGAAAATTTACCAACTAAATTCGGTGAGTTCGCCCACTTGATGCGAAACGCGTTTTATCTGTTCCTCCTTCTCGCTCGAGCTGTCTGTACTTTAAGATTTTTGTATGTAGGGGCCTAATCGTCATTTCAGTCCTCCAGATTTTTGTACCAGTAAAATTTTATAGTGACAAAAATCCACAATTACAAAATACATTCTTCCCGTTGACTCTTTTTTTTTTTTTTTTTTTTTTTTTTTATAAATTCCCATATGTTGTATTTCTAAACTTTCAATGGGTTTTCTTTTTTTAAAACAATTTTTTTTTAAAAAAAAATTTAATATTCAAATTTAATTTTTTGCATTTTTTAACGGTGTTGTTTATAAAATAAATTTGATTTATTTAAAGAAACTGAATCCAACAAATTAATGTTAAAAAAAACTTATCCTATGAGCTAATTTTGTTGCTCTATTTGAATACTTTGTTAAATAAATCTTATGACATTTTTAAAAAATATATGCTTATACATATATTTATATGTTAAAATATAGTATAGTTAAAATAAATTTATATAATTAAATGGATTTTACAAGTTTGAGTAAGTAAAATTAAGTGATGAGATGGATAATAATTGCAAGTATTTTACTGGCATAGTTAAAGTTGTAATCGATTTTTTTATCCACTTGGAACAGGAAGTCATTAAGTGTTATAATCATTATTATCATTTATGATTATACAATATAAACTTTAAAAAATTATATAAGAGAATAAAAAATTATTAAAATTTTATTTTTAAAAAATATCATTAATACTTACTATGTTAATTTTTATTATTTTTTATCAAGTGATCGAAATAAATTTATTTAAGAAACACAAGTAATAATACAAACAACTGTAACCATAAATGATAAATGATTTTGTTATGATTAATCATAAATATATAATATTAAAAATAAAGATGCTGAAAAATACTCAATAATTAATAAAAAAACTTAAAAATAAAGTACTAATTTTTCAATTGTTTGAAAATACAAATTAATTGTTTATTCTAAAATTTAAGTATTTAAAAAAAAATACAAATTCATAAATGTAATTAGATAAGACAGAGTTTTCAAGGAAAATGCTTGGGTCGGAGGGAAAGCAAGCAGGACAACAAATAGGAAAAGGGTCCACGCTGTTGGCAGTAAAGCTTGTTTTTTTCCCTGATCTGAAAATGCCAGCACATAATCATTTCATCTTCCTCATTTTCTTTTATGGAGATTTCCTGATTTTTATTAGAAATCTACTGATCTGCTCACTGATATACTCTGTGTGTGTGTGTGTATATATATGTGTAACACATTATATTTTTACTGTCGTGCACAGTATATACACTTCTGGAGCGAGAGATCAGAAACCCCCAAAAAATAAATTAAAACCTTTTTTAATGAGAAAGTAAACCCTCTCTCACAGTTTCTCTGTCGCTTTTTCTCTCATTCGCGATCTACCCAAAGACAACGCAAATCCCTATATCCTCTCTTTCTTCCTCTCTCTCCATCTCTCTCTCTCTCTCTCTCTCTCTCTCCCTCTCTGTGCTTGTGACTGTGTTAGATCTTCACACCACCGAGCTCCCAAATTGCAATTCCATTTTGAAAACCTACTCATACTTCTTCTTCGCCTTCTCTGTTCGAATACATTGATGTTGCATATCGGACTTCGTTATTGCTGGTGAAGAATAATTAGGGAAGAGTAAATCGTTGATAAGAGGCTTCTGAGTTTTAATTTCTTTGGTGTTTCACCTGCTTTTGGATGATGATGTGGAATGGCGGAAGCTGAAGGTTTTGTGGCCCTAAAGATTTGGGGGGAAGAAGTGAAAGGATCAGTGGTATTGAGGCAAGAATGGCGGCTACGGATGGGAGCTGGGCGGACTCGTACAGGGGTATGTCCTCGGATAACATTAAGGGATTGGTGTTGGCTCTCTCTTCCAGCTTCTTCATCGGTGCCAGTTTCATTGTGAAAAAGAAGGGACTTAAGAAAGCTGGTGCTTCTGGTGTCAGGGCAGGTACTTTGCTTCGATTTCGGGTTTCTTGATTCTCTCGTTCATGGTTTTCTTTCTTCCATATGCTTTAATCAGTTCATGGAATGGCTGCGGTGTAGCATTCTTCCCACTTGGGCTGGTGGAACGATAATGCATTTTTGAAGGGATTAATGTTTTTTTATCTGTTTCATTTTCTTTTTAAAGCTTCGATTTTTTGTCTGGATGTGAACAAGATCGGAATCTTGATAGATCGTTTGGCATTTTCCTGATAAATTTTACTGTTGTTCAACTTTGGGCTAGTGATGAGCATTTGGTTATTTCATTTATGTGGTGGGTAAACTGCAAGTGAATACCGGCTACGATCAAGCTAAGCTATTTAGGGGTGCTGATGTAAAACATTGCTATCAATAAGTGATAAATATTTGGAAGGGAATAACATTTATGTGAGATCAAATTAGTATTTTCAAGATGGTAATTTGGTTTTTATTTATGGTAATTTTACTGGTGAAGTCCACTTACGAGTGTTCGGTGTGGCATTCTGCCATCCAGCGAGCTTCTTAATATTGAAGGTCATAGAGTGAGTTCATTTCTACTTGCATGGTTTACCTAACAACGGGTCATAGAGTGAGTTCATTTCTACTTGCATGGTTTACCTAACACCGGGTTTAGTTGATCGATTGTTTTGAGTTGATCTAGTTGTTGACTGCTTTTGGAAAAGATTTTAAGTTTATGGTACAATTCACTGTACACTTTAATGAGGTCCTTCTAAATGACATAATTTCGTCCCTGTAGGTACTGAGGTCAGTTTTTCTCAAATTTTCCCCAGTTGCCAATTCTTTATGTAGCGACAAATGTATGAAATTAATTTTATGTGATGTGTTAACTATTTCTGTTTTCCATTATGATGGGAACAACACTGGCAACAATTTTTTGGGATGTGACAAATGAAGAAGTTTAGATAAGTTTGCTGTTGTTCTACTTTGAATTTTAGAGATATAACTTTATTTGCACGATGGTGACTGAAACGTTATCCTATACAAATATTTCCTACAGGTCTCAGGATATGGTGGTGGTATTGTTTCTTGTGATGTTAATAAAATTCTGATATTGTGTAGGTGTTGGAGGTTATTCTTACCTTCTTGAGCCTCTTTGGTGGGTAGGCATGATAACAAGTAAGTTATTCTTTCTGGTTGATGGGTTATCTCGACTATCCTATGACAGCATCCTTTAGAAAGAAATTACAATATGTGCTAGCTACATTTTATTATAATGGTTCGTATTTTTCGCCTTTTATTGAGAAAGAAGACCATAATGGTATATCAACTGTCACGTCTTGATGCTGTGATTCAGCTATTATCTATGGTTTGTGCCATACTGCAGAGAGCGGTAGGTGGTAGCTTATTGTGCACATATTCTTGTTGACAAGTGCACTCTTGACCTGATATCCATGCATCCATGCACACATGATATATGATCTGCAAGCATGTTAAGATGGACCTGTTTCACCTTAAGAAGTCTCTTTAACTTATAAGCACAGAAACAGTGGGTACAAGAGTAACATGGGTATTTGACAACGTGGCAGTGATTGTTGGGGAAATAGCTAATTTCGCCGCTTATGCATTTGCACCAGCTATTTTGGTCACCCCCCTTGGTGCAGTCAGTATTATTATCAGGCAAGAGAATGATATGCATGATGTTTTATATCTCTGTTTTTCACTCATTAACATCAACTTCCGTATTGTCTTTCAGCGCTGTACTAGCTCATGTTATCTTACGGGAGAAGTTGCACATTTTTGGAATTCTTGGTTGTATTTTATGTGTTGTCGGTTCAACGACAATCGTTTTGCATGCTCTTCAAGAACGTGAAATTCATTCCGTCTTTGAAGTGTGGAATCTTGCAACAGAGCCAGGTTAGTACCTCTCAGTTGAAGGCATCCAATCATTTTGCAAATTGTTCTCCTTCACGTAATAACTTCATCAGCTCTCTTGCAGCTTTTCTTTTCTATGCGGCTGTGGTCGTAGCAGCAGCTTTTATACTCATAATCCATTTTATACCACAGTATGGACATACACACGTCATGGTCTATATTGGGGTTTGTTCATTAATAGGTTCATTATCGGTATGCTGCAACTTTTTTTCTTAATACATAATCTAAGTATTGATCTATATTTGTTTTTGCCGCTCTATTTAGTGATTCATATATTCTCTTGCTATGAGAGTGACATTGTCAAGCACAATGACAGGTTATGAGTGTTAAGGCACTTGGAATAGCTTTGAAGTTAACATTCTCTGGAATGAATCAGTTACTATATCCTCAAACGTGGGTCTTCACTACAATTGTGCTTACGTGTGTGATAACTCAAATGAACTATCTAAACAAGGTAATTCAAATTCTAGGAGACTTTATAAATCTTTTGAAATTTACATGCTTAGGGATTGTTGATTTCTGTTGTGAAATTTGTGCAAGTTTTCCAATACCTGATGTGGTTGTTTTGGGATGGCCTTTTGGGTCTATTATATTCTAAAAAGGATGTTGTCATCCACAATCATGACCAAAGAAAGAGTGATTGTAGCATCATTTCCCCTTTTTTTTATGTAAAAATGAAAATGTATTAAAAGGCACCAAGGAGTATTAGCCATATAGAACAGATTGAAATTATCTAAAGACAGAAAATATCAATAAGGCTCCAAGGTCCTCCTTTGACAGTGGAGCAACCTCTATGTAAAA